TGGAGGGAAAGGGGCTTGCTGGAACACTGTCCTATACAGAACAGGGGAAGGGATCTAGACAAGAGACTCTCCTGAGAGCACAGCTGGCTCACATATGATAGTAGGGGGCAAAGCAGAGTGGGTGGGCACTTCTGTTCAGTGCAAGTGCTTTTCAGGGTCAAGAATGTATGCAAAGAAGTGATTGTAATGATGCATGTTCTTTACACTCAGAGAAGAAGGGAGGAAGGATCTCAAGGGGGCTAGGGACAGTGCTTGCTGGAGGCAGGGATTAGCTGGAAGAATAGACGTGGTGGTCAGAAGAGGATGCTTGGAACTGGGATGCTGCAGGAGATGTGATTGCTGGAGATGACGAGGTCTAGGGTGCACCTTGGTGGTGAGTGAATGGGGTCAATAGAGATGAAGGGAGGATATGCTGTATCAAATATTGAAATCCCTAAGAATAGAACTGGAGAAAGGGACAGTGCACAAAAGCAGGTTCAGGGCTTGGCGGATGGCAGCAGCAACGAGGGGGGTGGGTCATGTGCTCTGATGATGTGATGTTCAAGGTTGGAGCTTTAGGGGAGAAGGGGAAAGATGGACTGAAGGTCACAGTGAGATGGAAGGGGTTACCTGCCCCAAATCTAGACCCAGAGAAACAAAGAACCCACCATCATATAGGAGGATTTATGATGGGTGCATCTTCTGGCTCCAGCCCCTCTCTCCTGTCTTATCTGAGGTCATTGTATGGTGTTCCCTGTACTTCAGGGACAGATTCTTTTAATTCCTTATAGATGCCATTCTTTCTTCCCCAAGCCTTGGCAAATGCTTTTCCACCTTTCCTGGAACACACTGTTCAGACGTCCACACCTCACCAACACCTACCATCCCTCTGGCTGACTTCTGTTACTTTCTCTGGAGTCAGAGGGCATCTGCAAAGCTCCTGGGACTTTATCATTATCTACTCATATATTCTTATAATTTCTTATTGATCTTCCCTACCAGATTCTGAGTTTCTTGAACCAGAGACGAGATTTGATTTATTTCTCTATATGTCACTGGTGGCAGGCACCGTGCATTGTAGGGATTCAGTAAACATTTGTTGAATAAATGAATGGATGATTGAAAAGCAGCATCTAAAACACATTCTGTGGCACATAATTGGGACTTGATACGAGAAAGTCTTTTCCTCCTTGCCCTGCTGCCTAGCAACGTTCTCAATTATAGGGCTATTCCCTCCTTTTGAATTCAGAAATTTAGCTTTGCAGAAATTACTTGCTTCCTTTTGGTATGTTAAAAATCAATAATTGGAAGAATACTAGCCCCTAGATAACTTTGGATTTTAAAGAAAATTCAACACGTAAAAACATTGGTAAAAACAGGTAAAAACGTTTTCTTCTTTAATCTTTAAGTCCGATCTAAGCTTCGGAACCGTGCCCAGAAACCAGCAAAGTGGAAAAGACTGTACTTTGCAACAAAGTCCTCTCCCTGCCCCAAGAGTAGATCTGCAGACATTGTTGTGCTGACCCCAGACAACACCTCAGTGGCTCAGAGTCTGAGGAATGCATCCTTCCATGGAGAACAAGAGAAGTCCTTTGACCCCCACTTACCTTAGTGGATATTACATTCATTGATCAGAATATCAGGAATACTAATTATCATCAGGCTCCATGCTTGGTTCTGGGAAAACAGACATAATATGACAAAGGCCTTGTCCTTGGGAAAGCTGCAGTCTATGTGAGGAGTGAGGTGGTAACAGGTATATCTGATGGGTGTCACAGTGACCCAGAGGATGCCAGCATGTTGCAATGGCAAATGTGTGTTCTGGCTTCAGACTGCCTGTGCTCAAACCCAGCTCTACTGCTTGCTTAGAAAGCTTTTACAATATATCCTATCTGTATCTTGGGTTTCCCAAATATAATGTGGTTCTAATAAAAGGAAAACCCTCATTGGGAGGTTGTGTGAATTATAATTTATACAAACAAAACGCTTACAATAGTACCTGGTGTAGATTACATAGCTAATAAATGTTAATTATGATTATCTAGGTTTGGTGATAAAATTAAATAAAAAAAATAAAAATAAAACTGGCCAGAATTCCCTCTATGGAAAAGAGTTTGTGAAATGAATGAACGATGTTCTTCAGAACCATAGTTAGATTCTATTGTATGGTGATGAGAGTAGAAGATTCTATTTCAGGGCCGGCCAGTTAACTCACTTACTTAGAGTGTGGTGCTGGTAACACCAAGGTCAATGGTTCGGATCCCTGCACCAGCCAGCTGCCAAAAAGAAAAAAAGAGAGTAAATATACTTCACTCACAATTTTCTATGAGTTCCCTGTAGCACTTTGTTTATGTTTCTTCTGTAACATTTATCTGGTTGTGTTCTAAGTGGATATATACATGTGATTTCTCCACATGACTCTTATCTTCTGAAGGGTCTGTTTCTCCTTGATATGCAGCCCTCCCCCCACCCGTGATGATAGAGACCCCTTGTGCAATCTTGCAAGAATTTATAAAATACACATTGTAGTGCTACACGGCTGTCAGAATCCTGCCGATGTTGCCAGTTGTAAAGCTCTTTCACTTGCCTGTAATCCTGCCGACTGGACCAATTGTCGAGCTAGGGCTGGGTCTGGAGCTCACAGACCCCTCAAGCCTGTTGTCCAGACTGGATCACAAACCCTTCATATGCCAGGCTGGGTCCCCAGACCCCTCAATGCCAGGCTGGGTCCCCAGACCCCTCACATGCAGGTCTACGAGCTAGGTAACTGGCAAACAGGTCCTTGGAAGCCGTAGGTTGGAAAGCATGGCAGGGCGTGGTGGATGTTGGAGGCTGCCCGCCTGCTTCACTAAAACTCTCTGAAGAACACCAGAATAACAACAAAACTAAAAAGATACATTGGCGTGCATGTGCACTAACTACACACACACACACACACACACACACTTGCTTGCAAAGGATGTGCTGAACCACACCCAGCTGGACCTGAGGCAAAGGTCCTGGCCAAACCGTTCTATTTTCCCAATGCACATGAATGAAACAGACTTATCCTCACTCCCTCCACCCCATTATTATTACCCATCACTCTTGGTTTTAAAAAAAAACCAAAATCACTCTTGGAATTAAAAAAAAGAAACAAACAAAAAAAATGGGTAAATTTGACCATAAAATGTATTAGTGTGTTAAAGTTCAAAGTGTGTCAGAAAAACAGACTTCCAATGAAAACAGAAGCAAAAGTACAGAGTGAAACAGATTCATTAGTTTAATGCTAGCCAGCTGCGTGAGGGTTAACAGAAAGCAAACCTCAGCCCCTGTATACTCTGGCTATAGAAGCACGGTATGTTTTGCTTACCTTGTCTGGCACCTGTGCAGTCAGGGTACTGTGATGGAACACACGGCGGGGGCGCAAAATAGCATGGGGCAAAACCATTTCCCCCAAATCCCAGTGCTGGGCATGTGGGGTATGCAATGAGGCAGCTCTGTGGGCTCCCGAGAGGGTATCCTGGGCATCCTGAGTGAAGTAAATAGAAGAAACACAGAAAGGAGGGCATTTTGGCTTAACCTATAAATGTAACCAGAACATGCATGTTAGAGAGCATGTGACATATTCCTGATTTGTTTTCTTGTCTGTTTGACTTCTCTGCTGACTGATCTCTGGTTAATGTATTTAAGTTGGGCTTAATGGGTTCTCCTCCTCTGCTGTATTGACATCACCCAAGTGAGGTGTTGGTAGATAGTAGGGTCAAGGCAGTCGCCTGCTGAAACTGAACCATTTGTCCTCCTCTTTCTGACTGGGGTGTTGTCAACAACGGGAACACCTGAAAAGCAGGCACATAAATTACTGCTGTAAGTTTAGGCTGAGATTCAAGCAGCAGAAAATGCACTGTAAGACTTAGACTGAACACAAAGTGCATAGACTGAAAACTAGACGCTAAGACTCTGGCTTGAGCTCTTTCTGGGTCAGGATAGGAAGTATATAAATAATGAAACAAACATGAAAAATTTACTTAGTCAACAGGCAAACAAGTCCTTGGAAATTCACTCAGGACTTTGCTTAGGATTCTGAGAGATTCTAGGACCCGACTTTTCTTGGAGCTCAACTGTATGGAACCCTTATAATCCTCCACCTGCTTGGCCTTCTTCCTGCTGACTGCAGAATGGCACTGTCACTTCACTTGGTGGCTATCAGGAAATTGTACACACACCTTTAGTGCAGGGAGAGGAATTTTGTGGTCCAGGGAAGGTTTCAGGAAGGCGTTGTATAAAGTGGGTCTTTCACAATGAATAAGATTTAAGTAGGTGATGTGGAGGTTGGGGGAAGTGGGTATTCCTGTGGAGTTACAGGTGGCAGAGAGTGGAAATTATTTGTGAGAAAAGAGAGCGGATCCACAGAAAGAGGGAGAAGCTTCACACAGGGAAGGCTTTGTGCTAGGTGTCTGAAATCTGGAACTCTCAAGACTTAAAGTTCCCTTCAAGAGCACAAAGGCTTATATTTACATTTAGGACAACTGATCATTTATACTTTGCATGTGGCATTTCATGTAAACTTCCCAGTTACTCAGTGAGGAAGGTGGGGTGGTACAGACTTAGTGCACAGTGGGCTAGACTGGTGAGCGGTGGAGCTGGCCTCTGCTCTGCTTTTTCTGACCACACTGGCCCCCATCTGCCATTCTGCCATCCTCCAATACTGTCTGTAGGGATGCAGGGCCCTGCTTGGCAGGAAAAATGAATGAAAGGAAGAGAATGCTCACCAGAGAGGAGACAATGGAGGTGTTTTCCATTCAACAATGCTTGGTAGGTACCAGCATCATGTTTAGTCTGTCGATGTGCTTCCATCTGAACCTCAAGAAAGGCCATGGGCTCTGTTGAGACTCACGTGCATGCATAGCATCCAAGCCTCCTTGATATATGTGTGAGTTATAAAGAGCTCAGCCACTGCGAGTCATTACTTATGGAGCAAAATCCAAAGCAAAGCTCTAAAGTGTTTGGGGAGGAGAGTGAGGACTTTCTTCCTGTTTCAGGACTCTTCAGGACGTGGAGTTAACTGGGCATCAGCACAAGCCAGCCCGAGCCCTATCTGGAGGCCTGAGGAGGAAGCTGTCACTTGGCATTGCTTTCCTGGGCACCTCGAGGACCGTGGTTCTGGATGAGCCCACCAGCGGGGTGGATCCCTGTTCACGTCGCAGCCTCTGGGACATTCTGCTCAAGTACAGAGAAGGTAGGAGTGGGGCCTCATTCTACTTTCTCTTCCCACAATATTGTGGCACAGGAAAAGGACTGCTATCTATATGAGGAACCAAGTCACATTCCAAGGAGGACACATAATCCTTTTCAGAAAAAATAAATTTCATGAGAGCTTATGGTGCTATGTTCACTAGATAACATCTCCATAGTGCTCAGAATTGCTTCCTTCGTGTATGACCTCTTAACTCCATATTAGCAATGATGCTATCAGTGCATGTTATCATACCTGATTTCAATGGAAATTGTTGTTTTTCATATTGCATTCCATTCTGGAAGCGTAGATTATTAGAAGAGACATCCTGGAGATCCCCTAGGACTATCAGTGCATGTTATCATACCTGATTTCAATGGAAATTGTTGTTTTCCATATTGCATTCCATTCTGGAAGCGTAGATTATTAGAAGAGACATCCTGGAGATCCCCTAGGACAAGCCCTTCTTTTCTCAGATGAGGAAAGCAAGGCACAGAGAGAAGGGCGTGTGATTTGCTCAGAGCTGCAGAGAAAGTTCACTGAGCCAAGGATGGAACTCGGGTCTCTGATTTAGAGGTTTTGTATTTCTCACCTCTATTATTGCTTATTTCCAATAGGCATTCTATGGGCAGTTACTAATTTCCAGCTTCTGATTCTTTCTGCAATCTAGATGGCTAGGAAGCATTGCTATGGGTATTTTGTATAGAAGCACTGTCATTTGGAAAGAAACAAGGGCAATTGTGAAACATACCTTGGTGCTGCAGGATTAATACAGAATCTAAAACATCTTTTTGATTTTTCTTTTTCTTTTTGAGTATAAGTCCTTGTGACTTGACCTGCAGCCTCCACCCACCTGGGAGTAGATTAGGATTTGCTACTGAAGAAAGGCAAACAGGAAGAACAAGAAAAAACCCTCCTTTTCTTTAGCAGACTGAGAGCTGAGCCCAGAAGACTCAGATCACCAAATTTTCTCTTTAGAATAAAAAAGATACTCCAGTCGGTCACTTAAAGCTTAGCCATAGGCTGGGATCTCAAAGCAGAAGAATAACCCAAAAGGAGAAGGATCCTTTTTCCTTTCTGTCCTTCAATTTTAGAGGAACTATGGGAGGAGAGGATGGAGAAGGAAGCAGGAAAATCGAGCTTTTTGTTGCAGTCTGGGCTCTGGCCTGCACTGGGCAGTTGCAGGAGAAAAGTGAGAGTTGTGGGGATGGCAGTGGCTGCTCAGCCTGGGGCAGCCACCTCAGAGGTCATGATGCCAAACTGATTCTGGGGTCCAGGGAGGCACCGGGGGCTGGGATTCCCACACTTTTCCAGGGCTGTGGGCTTTGACACTTAGAAGGAGACAGGGCCTTCCAGGGATGCTGCAATGGAAAGATGAGCGGCCCATAGAGCTGGCTGGCAGCTAGGGCAGAAACCTCGGAGTTTGCGGCCAGCAGGACCTGAGAAGCTGCTGAGACAGCTGGGTAGCAGTCTGTGCTCTGACCTGACCCTTTTAGGGTGCCTGCCCAAGCTATAAATGCCACGGTGGGGAGTGGGACAGTACCAGGCGGTCTTAGTCATCACCAGAGACCAGAGGAGGCTGACCACATTGCTCCCCAAAGATCCTAAGCTTGCCCATTGCCACGAGGTCCCCAAGCCCCCTTACCCTGTTTACATAAACATCCTCTGAAGAGAAACAAAGAAGGGGAAGAAATGAGACCCTGAATGCCTCTTAAAGGGACTGATTAAATTTTGAGATGAAACTCATTTAAACTGGACTAAATAATTTCTCTGCTACCCTGCGTGGGGGCTGGTGAAGAAGACAGATGAGAGAGAGACAAATAGATCCTGTCATCTCTGCATCTGTGAATGCAGTATGAAGGAAATACTGCAAGCCCACTACTCTTGTTTATTTTGAAAATCGGAGATGCAGTCTTAAGGGTTTTGCTGAAAGAAAATTTGGGTAATCAGCATAAAGTTTACTGTAGACAGAAGACCAGATACAATCAAAGTCTCTGAAACAGACAGCTTTCTTCCAATTCTGTTGTTATAAATTAGATATTTTTCTCACCGTCCTCCATGGTTTAGAAATGCTTTTTGTCTTCAGAGGACTCCTTTGAAATTGTTTGTGCACTGATTGAAGTGCAAAATCAATAGGGTGTAAGCGGATTAGGTGGTACTAGAAGAAAAATGTGTTTTCAAGAATCAAAATGTATAGCTGTTTCTCGAAAGAGCCTCAAACCTCCAGGTAACTGATATAGCTTTGTGAGATAGATCTAAGGGCCGTGCAAAAACAAATGTTCCCTGCTGAGTAGAAAGAGATTCTACTGTCAGACCTGAGTGCATTGGGGGCTTAATCTACCTGGAATTTCATGTGTGTTTCTTGCTTAGTGATGTACAGCATGCACTCTTCATCAGCCCTGGTGTCGGTACTTCTGTGCCTCCCATGGAAAGATCAACAAAGAAGCAAAAGATATTGGAGCAAATTGGCACATCACAACTAAATTTTGAACTAGATTGCATACTTACTCTGCACCTCCTGTGTGACCCCGGGGAAATTATCAAATTCCCCTGAGCTTTACTTTTCTCATTTGCAAATACAGACAATTGTACTATCTCGTAGGATTTTACGAGGAGTAAATGTACTATACGCGTAAGTTCATAGTGCAATATCTGGTATGCGGATGCTCAGTCAATGACAGTTTATCATTTTATCATTAAAATAGGCGAGAGAAGGTGACTGTGGGAAATACAACTTCTGCATAAAAAGGATAGGACACATTATCTGAATCGAGGGGGGCAGTAAAGCAGTGTTTTGGGGAAAACAAAGTAATATTGTCTTTTGAGGTCTGAATGTGTCT